AAAAACTGGACTTCTCACCCATTGCCGTGGGAGTATAAATTGATTACAAAAAAAAAAAAAAAGCTTAGCAAACTGTTTGGCAGTATCTATTAAAGCCAAGCACAGAAATAACTTAAAACCCAGCAATTCTATTTTTATATTCCTGGCAGAAATGTACAGCATGTGCACCAAAAGACATGAACAAGAATGTTTATAGCAGGTTTATTCATAATAGTTCAATTTTTAAAAATTAATAAATAAGTAAGAAAGTAAAAAACAAAACAAAACTAGAAATAGCCAAATGTCCATCTAGAGTAGAAGGGATAAATTAGTGGTCTAGTCACACAACAGAATACTCAAAAGCAGTGAGCATGAGCAGCCCACAACTACCCACAGCCACGTAGGTCAGTGTCATAAACATAATGTCAAATGACGAAACCAGACAATTGACCATTAAAAAAAAAAAAAAAAAAAAAAAAAAAAAAAAAAAAGCTTAGCAAACTGTTTGGCAGTATCTATTAAAGCCAAGCACAGAAATAACTTGAAAACCAGCAATTCTATTTTTATATTCCTGGCAGAAATGTACAGCATGTGCACCAAAAGACATGAACAAGAATGTTTATAGCAGGTTTATTCATAATAGTTCAATTTTTAAAAATTAATAAATAAGTAAGAAAGTAAAAAACAAAACAAAACTAGAAATAGCCAAATGTCCATCTAGAGTAGAAGGGATAAATTAGTGGTCTAGTCACACAACAGAATACTCAAAAGCAGTGAGCATGAGCAGCCCACAACTACCCACAGCCACGTAGGTCAGTGTCATAAACATAATGTCAAATGACGAAACCAGACAATTGACCATTCACACACGCACACATTTGCTTGCTTTTAGGTAAAGTTCAAAAACAGGAGGAAAATACTAATCTATAATATTAGAAGCCAGCCTGGTGGTTACTCCTGGAGGGTAGTGACTACCCCTGCGGCAGAGCTGGGAATGTTCTTTATCTCAGTCTGTGTTCTGGCTGCACTGGTGTGTTCACTTTGTGAAAATCCATTGAGCTCCATACTTATGATGGGTGCACTTATTTGTACATTGGATTTTAATGCAAAGTTTACAAAGAAGGGGGAACAGAATAAAGAAAGAGGGAGGGAAGGGGAAGGAGGAACAGGAAGAAAAGGATGAGGGAAAAGGGGGAGGAGGATTTAGGGAAGAGAAAGAAATCAAATTTCTCAGTCATCTAACTGTGCCTGGATAAAGCGCTGCTTTGACTTTTAATCAGATGACTTTTTATGGAATTGACAGCATGCCCTTGGCTTATAGTTCAGGATGATGCTACCTACAGAACACTCCCACAAAACCCTTCTTATAATTACTGTATGAATATTGCTGAAGTCATATTTTGCCATATGCCTTAGTGCCCCTTTTATAAGGACCCATGGAGCGAATTTCCCTAACACCTCAATACCCAGAAAAGCCAGAAAAGTTTCTCTCATTTCAAGCAACAAGTGTTTTTTTGTTTGTGTGTTTGTTTTCTTCAACCTAGATACAACATATCTATGGGATATCTTTTTTCCTTCTTAGCTTTGTCTGCTAGGAAGCTTAGTGTTAAAATTTCCAGTCCAAGATTAATAGACACAGAGTATCCATTCTGCCTCAGAGGCTAGGGCTATATTATTAATATGACACACCCCTGTTCTTGGGGTCTCACAGTCTAGCCGGGACACAGACAGACATGCAGGAAATCATGTCGATCAATGCTGTGAGGGCTAGCACACGACTAGTATTAGCACATAGTAGGGCTCTAACAGGGAAGGAAGAGGGGGAGGGAGAGGGGGAGAGGGAGGTTGGGGCTAACTGGTGGGGGACACAGGGTACAAATGCAATTTGTGGTAATGGGTATGCTGCCAGTATGAATCTGCCCCCACATCATGGGCACGAGGGGTGACAATCAGCTTTGTATCTCATGAATATTCATAACCAATAAAAAATAAAAAATAAATTTTGATATGTTACTCATCATGGATTTTTTGCATTCATTTACATTTTTAAAGCTATTGCACTGAAATATTTATCTTGCTGAATTTTTTGGCGATCCTTTAAATTATGTGCTCCAGACAAATGCTTCCTTCACTCCTCCCTAGTCCTGGTCCTGAAAGTCTGAGTCAAACAGCCCTCCTGCCCTCAGATGCAGGAGCTATCTGGGTCATGCCCTTATTACCAGCCCATGAACTCAACACCAACTAAAGAGAGAAAACATCAGCAATGGGATGACACACACACCCAGGAAACTTTAGTTTTTCTCTGCACTGACAAATATTATCCCACATGACCCCAGGACCTTTGCACTTGCCATTTCTGCTCTTTCTCCCAGATCTGCACATAGATGGCTACATCAAATCACTCAGATCTGAAATCAGTCCTCCTTCCATGGAAGCTTTCCTTGACCATTTAGGCAAAACCCGCCTCCACTTAACCTCCCATCACTGCTGTCTCACTCTTCTTTGTATCTGTAGCACTTTGCAATGTGAAACTAGTTTACTTGTGGGCTGTCTCCCTCTATTGGCCTGGAGACCTGGAGGACAGGAACTTTTTACTTTATCCCTAGCCATGCACAAGCTGTCCATTGAATGCCTAACACATGGGAGGTGCTCATGCATATTTTTTGAATGGGTGAATAGGTGGGTTCCATTGGGTCTCCAACAGAACCCTGTGAGGTACCTAGTGCTTCGTGAAAAAACAGAGCTGGGACTAGGATGGGACTAACATTCACCCAGGGTATAAAATTTAAGTAGGTGCCAAAAAACTCAGAAAATAAGATAAAAAATATTTTAATGAAACATTTTTAAAAAATCTCAATTAAGGCAAAAGAAATCCATGATGAACAAAATATGAAAATTTTAAATAAAGACAGGATTCCACTGGGCAGTCTCATTTGCTTCCCCCTAATCCTGGCCCACAAATCCTGCATTTATTTAAAATTTTGAGTGAAATAAGCAAAGCACCAAGGGATAAATACTGTATGTACTCATTCATCTGTGGGAGCTAAGAGAGAAAGAAGGAAGGAAAGAAAGACCACAGTAGCGTGTTGGACTTGCAGAGGGAGGGCACATTCCTTGGGCTACAAAGTGGAGTGTGAGGGAAGGAAGAGGGGGAGGGAGAGGGGGAGAGGGAGGTTGGGGCTAACTGGTGGGGGACACAGGGTACAAATGCAATTTGTGGTAATGGGTATGCTGCCAGTATGAATCTGCCCCCACATCATGGGCACGAGGGGTGACAATCAGCTTTGTATCTCGTGAATATTCATAACCAATAAAAAAAATAAATAAATTTTGATATGTTACTCATCATAGATTTTTTGCATTCATTTACATTTTTAAAGCTATTGCACTGAAATATTTATCTTGCTGAATTTTTTGGCGATCCTTTAAATTATGTGCTCCAGACAAATGCTTCCTTCGCTCCTCCCTAGTCCTGGTCCTGAAAGTCTGAGTCAAACAGCCTTCTCAGGGGCAGGAGCTGTCTGGGTCACGTCCTTATTACCAGCCCATGAACTCAACACCAACTAAAGAGAGAAAACATCAGCAATGGGATGACACACACACCCAACAAAACCTTCTCCAGTTACATGTCCCTTTCCTTACCTCTGGTAACCATTATTCTGAATTTGCTGTTATTATTCCCATTAATATTTTTACATTTAGGTATTCTGTAACTTAATCATTTTCCTTTGGCATTATGTTTGCAGGAGCAATCCATGTTGATACATGAATCTCTAGTGTGAACATCAGGAAACTTCTTCTATAAAGATCCAAATAGCAAATAGTTTAGTCTTTGCAGGTAATGTGGCAGGGCTGGAGTACTTTCAGGTTGCAACTACCCAGCCCTGCCACTGTAGCAGGAAAGCGGCCACAGACTATGCATAAACGAATGGGTGTGCTGTGCTCCAATAAAACCTTATTACGAAAAGCAGGTGATAAAGTAGACTTGATCTGTGGGCCATAGTTTGCCCACCTCTTCATTCATTTTTCACTTTGGGGAACTCAGTTTTTAGCATAACAAAATACATCCATCCCTTCTGCCAGTAATAAGCTTCCATTTGGGTGTTTACATTCCTTCAATATGACAAACGCTGCTGCTATGAACTTCTTGTCTTTTCATGTACACGCGGGTAAGATTCTCTAGCATACACACATAGGAGTGGAATTGCTGGCCACAGGGCGTGGACAGCTTCAACTTTCATAGATAATGCCAAGTTATTCAAGAGAGATGAGATCAATTCACACTCCCACCAGCAGCGTGGAAGAGTTCCCGCAGCTACCATCCCTGCCAGCACTTGGCTACGTCAGACTTCTGATTTTTCCATTCTGAAGTGCGAAATGCTACCTATTGTGGTGTTGTTTGCATTTCCTGAGTGCTAGTTAGGTCGAGCATCTTTTCATCAGTTTATTGGCCATTTGAACTCCTGGACACTTGAACAGTTGAAACAAGAGTCCCTTCCTATTCATATTTTTGGCCCATATACACATATATATTTTCTATTGGAGTATTTGCCTTCTTCCAATTGATCTGAAGAGGTTCTTTACATATTCTGGACACTCTTTGCCAGTTATAAATGGTGCAAATTTCAACTGCAAGTATGTTGTGTATATTTGTTTTATGCTTTGATAAACATTTATTACTTTATTAAGGTTGAATTTATCATTTTTCCCTATGATTTGTGTTTTTGTGACTTATTTAAGAAATTCTTCCCTTTGCAGCCAGATGCCAAGAGTTTGTATCTCAATTCTACACTTGCTGGTTGTGTGGCCTTGGGAAGATACCTAATATCCCAGGCTTCAATTTCCTCCTCTTTAAAATGGGAACCATAGTAACGTGTACCTCACAGGTTATTTTGATGGTGCTTAGAAAGCAATTAGCACAGTGCTAGGCATGTCATCTTTCTCTCCCTTCAACAAACCTCACACACGGAGTCCTCACAAAGAGACCCCACACAGAGAACCAAGAGGAGGGACTGAGGTACCTTGCTCTCTAGTAGGTCTGCGTTCTGCCGGAGCTCATTCCGTGACTTCTCTGATTTCTCTAGCTTCTGTCTCAGCATTGAAAGCTCCTCCTACAAAAACAAGCACCTTAACAGAAGCCATTCTGGACTACACACATAACCTTCTACTTGTGTGAAGAGTGGTCAAAGGGTACAAAGTTTCAGTTAGACAGGAGGAATACGTTTTAGTGATCTATTGCACAGAATGGTGACTATATTAAATGATAATGCATTGTATATTTCCAAAATGCTAAAAGAGTAAATTTTAAATGTTTTTAGCACACAAAAAAGTATGTGAGGTGATAGATTTGTTAATTATCCTGATGTAATCATTTCGTATTACAAACATATACTAAAACATCACATCATACCCCATCAATATATGCAATTATTATCAGTCCATTAAAAATGAAATTTAGTAAAAGAGTGGTTGGGGGAATGGAGTGGGTGATTCAGCCACTGTATGTGTGATAATGCCTCGATGCTAAGTTCCTACAAAGGACTTCAGACACTTTCTTTCACTATTTCTGAATATCGGTGTCTCTGTTAATGTAAGTCTGTCCCACACCAGCCTGTCTAGGGGCTGAATGCAAACCCTCAGAAGGGGACCATTGCGGGCCAACCCCGTGGCTCACTCGGGAGAGTGCAGCACTGGGAGCGCAGTGGCGCTCACGCTGCGGGTTCAGATCCTATATAGGGATGGCCGGTGTGCTCACTGGCTGAGTGCATTGCGGGCGACACCAAGCCAAGGGTTGCAATCCCCTTACTGGTCACAAAAAAGGCAAAAAAAAAAAAAGATTGGTACCATTGCTTAATCTGAGACTGGGCATGCCTGAAAGTGGACAGTGAGTTCAGGACTTCACACCCCCCCACACCCAAGTATCACTTTCCTGCCAGTGGCTCAACACTATGCCTATGATGCCACCGTTAGGAAGCAACTTAAGTGCCCGCCCACAGCAGACTGGTAGAATGGACCATAGAACGTACACACAAAGAGTACTATGCAGCTGTACAAAGAGAACAAGGAAGAGCTCTATAAAAATGGACACAGCATTATTTTTAGAATATAATTTTAAGGAAAAAATGCAAGGTGCAGAAGAGTATATATAGTATTCTTTTCACATAAGAAAGGAACTAGTTGTGTGTGTTTGCCAGTTTTTGCAGAAAGAAACAGCAGGAAACATAAACCAGAAACCAATCGAAACAATTACCTATAAAAGGTGGGTGGTAACAGGGTGAAAGGGATGGGAAGGGAATATTCTTTGAGAGGTAAGAAAATAAAGGACTCAAAGATTCAGCCACTGATTCTCTCTGGGATAAGCAGTAAGTGTTCACGTCTGCCCAGGGTAGTAATAGAGTATCTAATCAGCAACCTCTAGCCTAGAGAGCAGCTGGGCATGTGATGGAGGATGGATCTGTGCTGATGGAAGCAGAGGAATACCTGGAAGAGAACATTGAGGGCTGTTCATTTCTAGATCAAGGATTATCTAGGGTGAGGGCACTGGATCCTGGGTGTAGGAACTAAGATGGAGGGAGCAGTACGGGGAGTGGCCACCTGGCACCCTGCCTGCCACAAGAAACCAACCTCCTTGGCTCGAAGCTGCTCATTCCCGATGGTGGCACTCAGCATGGGCCGAAGGGAGCCAAGCAGCTGCCACCATGGCCAGTCTCTGACCACCAGGAACACAGCCACGTTCTTCTGGATGCACTGTGCGGCCAGTCGGCGAATCTGTGGGGGAAGCAGAAGTGAGACTTAAGGGGATCCTTCCCAGCCCAGGTGACAGTGAGGGGAGGAAAGGAGGCAGAGGGTGGTAAATGGGATGGAGAAAGTGGGTTTATATCCTAGGGGAAGGGACTGGATAACTTTAAAAAAATAAAAATAAAGAAAATAAAAAGCTTCCTTTTCTTGAAGTTCTTTTAATATGTCAGTTCTCTGCATCAGGCATTATGCCATGGTCTAGTCTTGCAGGACCTAATAATAACAGGAGATGGAGAAGATGCTACACAATAGGGTCACATCTTAGATGGGGAGCACGTTCAAAAGTCACCATGTGAAGCAAAAACTATTCTTGAAAATTCCTAAAATTACCTGCAAGAAACAATGTCCACGATTATGTTGTTAGTTTGTTTAGTGGACAGATTTTTTTTCAAGTGTATTTAGACACTAATTCTGTGCTTTTTAAACTTGGGTGTGCATCAGAATCCCCTGCAGGGCTTGTTAAACCACAGATTGCTGGATGCCACCCCAAGAGGTTCTGATTAGGTACATCTGAGATGGGGCCTGAAAATGTGCATTTTTAACAAATCCTAGGTAATGCTGATGCTGCTTGTCTGGGAACTCCCCTTTGAGAAGCACTGACCTAATTCATTCTTGTCAAAGGTGGGAACCTCATTACCACCACAATAGCCAACACTCATATAGCTGGTGTGGCACTTGCTAAGTGCCAGACACTGCACCGAATATTTTACACACTTTAACTCAGTCCTTACTATAGCCCTAGGAAGGTTATTATCATCTTCACTTTACAGATGGGGATACTGAGGTGCAAAGAGGCAAAGTCACCTGCCCAATATCCCCCAGCTTCTCAGTGGCAGAGCTGGGATTTGAACCCCACAGCTCTTAAGCTCTATTCCAAATCATCCCCAGGCATAAGCTAGTCAAGGACAGTGGGCCAGTGGGGTTGCCCACAGTATTTTAATTATGAATGTTCTCAACATTTTCTGGTTTTGCCAAGTGCATCTATTTGAATTCACAAATTCACATAAACTGAAGGTACATGCAGTAAGACTCCATTCTAGCAGTAGTGGTAATTAACAATAACAATACTAAGGTAATAGCAGCTAGGATTTGTTGAGTAGTTACTATGTGCTGCACACTGTATTAAGTGCACATTATCTCATCTCACCTTCCCCTAGCTTCTAAGAGGCAGAGGTGAAATTCGGACATATACATTATTTGTCCCCAGAGCTGTGTGGCTTTTTCCCCATTGTGCAGGCTACAGAGAGGAAATGCAGTCTCTGGAGCTCTCTGAAGATGGTGACACAGGATAGATCAGGACTGCAGGCTCAACTTGCCTGTTGTTCCCGAAGACCTCAGTGACTGGCACCTGCCCATGCCCTGTCTGCTGACCTGTGAATGCCAAGTCCTCCAGAGATGGAATAGGTTCAGATCTTGAACCAGCCCAAGAGGGCTTGAACAACCTCATGGAGTCCTAGCTCAAGGCCAGTATCCTTGGTAATTTGATATCAGTGTCCTAGAAACCATCATAATATCTTGCGAAGCATCACTTAGAGTCTCACTACTTGGGGTGGGTCCTTGGGCTGGCAGCATTGGTATCATTATGGGAGACATGCAGACCCCCAGGCTCACTCCACGCCCATTGGTTCAGAATCTGCATGGTAACAATATGCAGTACCTTCAGCTTCTTGAATTCCTGGCGAGACAGAAAGCCCTTGCAAACGGCCTGGAAGAGAACAATACTCTGAGACACCAGCTTCTCTCGTTGCTTCTCAAGCCTGGAGACCACACCCGCCTTGAGGAAAACCTGGGAAGGGAGAAGGCTGCAGGTTACTCCTGTGCTGAATCAGATTGTCTGGGGTGGGAGATGCTTGCAACTCAGACTCTAGTTCTCTTACATCCACCCACAATATTTGTTAGCAACTGCCGTTTAAGGAGATTCTAAATGATCAAAGCATTTTGTCTCCTGATGGCTCCTCTTCCCTTCCTCTAGCCCCCGGATACCCAGTGTAGTCCGCACACCACCTGGGAGCTTGTTAGAAATGCAGAATCTCGACCCCCACTCCAGACCTGTTGAATCAGAACCTGCATTTTATTAACATGATCCTCAGGGGATTCATGTACACATTAGTTTGAGAACTGCTGCTATGACAGATGTGCCTACATGTCTATGTGGGCCAGAATTACCCAGGAAATGTAATAAATTTCAATTCCCAGGCCCCACACCAGGAAATGTTGACTCAGCGTGTCTGGGGCTGGCCTGAGAATGTGCATTTTTTGATAAGTGCTACCCAGGAAATGTAATAAATTTCAATTCCCAGGCCCCACACCAGGAAATGTTGACTCAGCGGGTCTGGGGCTGGCCTGAGAATGTGCATTTTTTGATAAGTGACCCTGGTGATCTGAGAGAATCAGTGGCCTAGAAATACCTCCTTCCAGCCTTGTAAGGAGGANATTATTTGTCCCCAGAGCTGTGTGGCTTTTTCCCCATTGTGCAGGCTACAGAGAGGAAATGCAGTCTCTGGAGCTCTCTGAAGATGGTGACACAGGATAGATCAGGACTGCAGGCTCAACTTGCCTGTTGTTCCCGAAGACCTCAGTGACTGGCACCTGCCCATGCCCTGTCTGCTGACCTGTGAATGCCAAGTCCTCCAGAGATGGAATAGGTTCAGATCTTGAACCAGCCCAAGAGGGCTTGAACAACCTCATGGAGTCCTAGCTCAAGGCCAGTATCCTTGGTAATTTGATATCAGTGTCCTAGAAACCATCATAATATCTTGCGAAGCATCACTTAGAGTCTCACTACTTGGGGTGGGTCCTTGGGCTGGCAGCATTGGTATCATTATGGGAGACATGCAGACCCCCAGGCTCACTCCACGCCCATTGGTTCAGAATCTGCATGGTAACAATATGCAGTACCTTCAGCTTCTTGAATTCCTGGCGAGACAGAAAGCCCTTGCAAACGGCCTGGAAGAGAACAATACTCTGAGACACCAGCTTCTCTCGTTGCTTCTCAAGCCTGGAGACCACACCCGCCTTGAGGAAAACCTGGGAAGGGAGAAGGCTGCAGGTTACTCCTGTGCTGAATCAGATTGTCTGGGGTGGGAGATGCTTGCAACTCAGACTCTAGTTCTCTTACATCCACCCACAATATTTGTTAGCAACTGCCGTTTAAGGAGATTCTAAATGATCAAAGCATTTTGTCTCCTGATGGCTCCTCTTCCCTTCCTCTAGCCCCCGGATACCCAGTGTAGTCCGCACACCACCTGGGAGCTTGTTAGAAATGCAGAATCTCGACCCCCACTCCAGACCTGTTGAATCAGAACCTGCATTTTATTAACATGATCCTCAGGGGATTCATGTACACATTAGTTTGAGAACTGCTGCTATGACAGATGTGCCTACATGTCTATGTGGGCCAGAATTACCCAGGAAATGTAATAAATTTCAATTCCCAGGCCCCACACCAGGAAATGTTGACTCAGCGTGTCTGGGGCTGGCCTGAGAATGTGCATTTTTTGATAAGTGCCCCTGGTGATCTGAGAGAATCAGTGGCCTAGAAATACCTCCTTCCAGCCTTGTAAGGAGGAGAAGTGAGGGCAGCCCTCCTTGGCCTGAAGAGGGTGGGGCTGGGCTGGTGCCACCCACGGAGGCACTCAGGCATCTGGCGGAAAACAGCTCCAAGTACATGATTTCCAGGCCATGGCTTGTCAATAATGCATGATGGCCTCTGCAGCTCTGTGATCAATGTCTCCTCGGCACCCCACAGAGCCACTTCGAATAAACTGCAGGAACAGGATTGAGGAAGCCGGGACTCCAGGACTGACTGTCAGCAAAAGACAGAGTCCTAGAGATTTAGGTTAAAGGACTTTCTGAGAGAACCTGAAGCTTTGGGGACAGGCCTGCTCCAGCCGACATGGTAGGGTGCCCACAGTTTGGTGCAGCCGTTTTCTCACCTCCACAAGGCAAAGGGAAATGCTGTAGTGGTGGGATTTGAGATGGAAACAGGGGGAGGAGTCACTTCAGATGCCCTGTGCTGCTTATTTCTGAAAAACAGTNGATGGAAACAGGGGGAGGAGTCACTTCAGATGCCCTGTGCTGCTTATTTCTGAAAAACAGTGTGAGTTTCTGTGTCAGCTGTGGCTTATAATCCCAAAAGTATTCATTTTCTCTGGAGGCACTGGTTAGTTCCATCATAATCTGTGACATTATCAATTAATGGCTCACAGTTGTGGAGCACTTACTGCATTCTGGAACTGGACCGAACAACCACTTGACAAGCAGGTAAAGTGCTTTACAAGCATGATCCTATATGGTAGTTACTGTGATTCTCCCATTTTATAGACGAAGAAACTAAGGTGAAAAGAGACATTATCCACGATCCTCCACTAGCAAGTGGCGACACCAGAATTTATTTCCCTCTGACTCCAGAGAAGACTACAATTATCACTAAATGTAGTTAACATTTGTATGACATCTATGTTTTTCAAAGCCCTTCCTCCTGTGTTCCATTTTAATACTTAAAACAGCCATATAAGAAATCTGTTGGCTCAAATAGGTTAGGTAATTGACTCAAGTTTTCATAGCTGGTGACCTGCAAAGCTAAGACTTGAACCCAGAACCTCGTGTTTATCTCCTGCACCCATTCTAAATGGCAACATGAGTTTTCATTTCCTCATTTATTATGATACAAACACCTGAAGTTTGAGGTCCAATTGCAATTTGATTCCAAGCGGAACAAAGGATCCCAATCGATTCTCCATTACCTAAGTCTATTTTCAGTAATGGAGACCACTCTGCCAATCCCATAATCTTTTCTCAATGGGAAAATGAGAATTAGCACACTCAGTTGGTGCTAACTCTGTTTTGCAGGCTTCCAGCACTTTACAGAACACTTTCTATTAGCCAGGGCCACCAAAACAATTAGCCTCGTTGAAATAAAGACACGATTGACTCATTACCTATCAGATTGCCTCAATAATGACTATATTAATTTCACAAGCTAGTGAGTCCCAAAAGCTGCTATATAAAAAAAAATCAATGATCAAAACGATGACAGCAGCAGTTCATATATTACAATAGGTGGCAGGAACTGCCAAAACCACTATTGATTAAGTATGAAGCTTTCATTAAAAAGATAATTGGAAACGACTATACACAGAATGGGAATAAGTCATTGACTCTGCAGAATTTTATCTCGATTTTTTTTTCTTCTAAGAGCATACTGCTGACCAGCAGGCCAACCGCACGTGGAATCACACCTTATTCATAAATGTCATGGCCCTCAGCACAAGGCTCGATAAGGCACGAGCAGCTGAAAAATCAAAGAAAAATCTAAATTATTTGCTTTTCATGGGTCCAGCTGCTTAT